TGGGATTAAAGTAATCATGAAGGCTCCAAGATCCACTAATAACAATTAACATGCCAAGAGGGGTCCAATCGACTGACGCAAAACTGCAACCAATCCTCCTCACTAATATGATATTTTAGGCAGAGAGATTCATCTTAATACTTTCCAAATACATACTCCTATGTCAAGAAAGTCTTAAAGTCCCTCCATCTAGTGACAGTGGATGATAAAATCTTCTTTCTCATCACCTCGATGTTAAGAATGTCAAAATTTTGCTATCAAAATACAAATAAATGTTAAATTCAATTATTAATATATTGAGTGTTCAATAAAGGTGGAAATAGCTTAATATCTTGCCACATGAGGTTCTTCTTGGTCTCCTCAACATCATCCCAAGATGGAATAATAATAGAAACATGGTGTCAAGCTAGGAGTCCCAAATAGGTCATAAACTTTGCACAATTTGGGTATGATACCTTACCAAAACATAAATCAACATCAACTTGTGTCCTCTCCCTAGTAACACGATCCGCTGTCAACCCCTTCAATCGGGTAACAAATCTAGCTCTACTCCTATCACTAGCAGATGTCGAATTTGACATAATCTTAAAAAAAATAACGATTAAAAATTTTCAACAAAATGAATACATATTCATATTTTTTTAAAAATATATACAAAAAAAAGTGGTACTCAAAAAACTAAATTGTAGAAATATAACAATGCAGTGTATAAACCATAGATGCACTCAAACAAATAAACGGACAACAACGAACAATAATCATTCAACTTCAATAACAACACAATGGTGACATTAATGCAATATCATGACTTAGATCCCCAAAACACGGATTCAATATAAACATAAAACTAGAGATGTAGATAACTAACCTTAAAGATACTCAAGACGTTCTAGAACTTATCCAATTAGAGAGAAATATCAACCACCACAAATGAGACACAATACAGATGTTGTCGCCGCTCACTGTGGTCAAAAAATACTATTAAAGGTACTGCAATGGTCACTTTCATTGTCAACTCAAAAGGCCTCACACGCACAAGGGAGAAGAAATCCTAGATGGAATAAAACACAAAATTTATATCAGACCTCAAAGAGGCCAATATAGAAACTACTACGTAAACAAAAAATTTACGTTATCCCCTTCGCCGAAGAAAATTCTCCCCTTATTATTTTAAAAAATGCCACTGTATTTTTTTTAATTAGTTATTTTGTAATCCAAAAAAAAAGTAACATTAAAAAACCTAATATTATTATATAAATATGCTTATGACTCATGTAAAAAATAAATGTTGTTGAATATATTAATAAAGTTTTAAAAGATGAAATAGGTGAATGATTTTTCATTATGTTACAATTATTATATAAGGTGAATATTCAAAAATTGATTTTGTTTTGGGTTTAGGTTAGTTGTAGAAACCCTAAAGCGACAAATACAACAATCTGAACACATTTTATAATTGATTTCCTCACTTAGCTTCGATTTGTAACTAAACTAGTATCATAAGAAAAAGAAATGTTATAAATGATCTTCAATTTGTAAAATTTTTAAATGAAAAAGTTATATTGAAAAAGATTGTATAAAATAAAATAAACTTACAATAAATACAAAATATAGTCGATAAAATTATATCATACAAAATTTTAAAAATACCTGATTTCTATAACAACATAATAGTTATAATACAATGTAACACATTTGTATAATATGCAATAGTAACAAACCAAAATAAATTAGTATAATAATCTATAAATTTAATATATTGCATAAAAAAGATAAATATAGTGAAGAATATTGTAAATTTATTCTGCATAATACATATTACACAATTAAACAATAAAGGAAGAAAAAGAATAAGCAATGACAAAATATATAATTTGTAAAGTAGTCATATGATTGTCAATAAAACTTATCAATTGTACAATTTTATGATTATTGAATGAACATAATTTTGAAGCAATAATGAACATCATAAATATGCATTTTCAATTAGAAAATAGTTTAAAAAAATTATAACAAATAAATCAAGTAAACATGTGGTTTTCCGTATAATAGTGTACTTGCATGCGTTTAGAGGCTTTCAAAAATTTCTTTGTATACTACATTTTTAGTACATGATGCTACATTTTCTTCTTCATCCAATATAAGCATTTTCAGTCCTTTCTTTGTTTTGACTTTATAAATTGCCACATAGAACTGACTATGAGTGAATATTGGACGCGGAAGATAAAATCCAACTTTAGAGAATGATTGACCTTGACTCTTATTGATTGTCATTGCAAAACACAATGATAATGGAAATTGTCTTCTTTGAAACTTGAAAGGAAATCCAGGATCAGAAGGAATCAAATTCATTCTTGGTATAAAGATTTTGTCTCCAATATTTTTTTCCAGCAATTACAGTAGCTGAAATGACATTTTTTCTCAAATCATTCACTTGTAATCTTGTTCCATTACATAAACCATTTGCTTGATCAATGTTTCTCAACAACATTATGAGAACACCAACTTTTAATCTAAGTCGATGAGTTGGAATACCTGAACATTTAATGTCATTAAGAAATTCAGATGTAAACCATTTACCTTGCGTTTCCTGATCCTCATCTGATTGACATGGTGTATCAGAACTCAAGTATATTTTTTCTTCACCAGGAATCAAAGATAAAATAAAATTATTAACTTCCTCAACTACATCAGTAATAGGACAAAGTATGGCTCCATCATCAAAATTACCAGCATACATCATGTTATGCACAAAATGAGGATAGACAAAATTAACTAATGAAAGTAAAGGTGTTTCATTGCCTTCAATTAAAAGATCTTTGGGTATGTCAATATGTCCTTCACCATTTTCATTCAAAGGCATATCTCCATCTCCAATCTTTAATATCCAACCAGCAAATTCTTTTATATCTTTTGCACTATCATTTGTTTTTGCAGTATTTAACCTCATATTCTTTGTAAACTTTAGAACTTTGCAATTTGTCCATGTTTCTAATAATGGTTTCCTCCTTCCACTTCCCAGTGTTCCACTCTGATGTATAAATTTGAACATCATAAAGCACATTGAAAGTAGTAAACAAATCACATGCGTATACCCTTTGCCAATATATTTCAATTTTCTTTTTCAGCATTGAGTTCTGAAATAGAGTGATACTTTTTTTGCAAATTGGACATGTTGCGAAAGGAATGTAAAAAATAGATAGAGAATAACCCACTCAACGGAGAAATATTGTCATTACATATATATATTTATAAGCATGATGAGAAGAGAGAAATATTGTCTGTCTTCTAGAATTTGAAATTTGAAATATTGACAATATTAAAGTAATCTGAATTCAAACTTTTGTAAAAAATTGCAATTTTTATACCTCCAGGTTGGGCTAACCCATAAGTAAATGCAAATCAGTAAGCAAAATTACATAAAAATATACTGAAATAGGTATAAACAGATCTACAACCCTAATGACGGTCAAATAAGACAATATTGAACCCTAATCATGATAAAAAAGCAAACTTTTTTAGGGAAAAAAATTTCAACTTCGCTCTTGAAGGTAAACAACATAAAGATTGAAAATCGGTAACTTTTAAATTCAAAAACCTTAGATCAAAGCTAATCAGTAACATTTTTTCCGAAATCGGTAACTTTTAAATTAAAAAACCTTAGATCAAAGCAAATCAGTAACCTTTTTTACAAAATCAGTAATGTTTAAACGCAAAATCTTAGATCAAAGCAAATCAGTAACATTTTTTACGAAATTGGGTAACCTTTGAATAAAAAAAGTTTAGATTCAAAAGTAAATCGATAAGAAAGATAACATAACATATTTGAACGTGCATATGAAAATACTACTTGAAGGAAGACGTGCAATAAAAGAGATTTGATTCTTTCTTTGAGACACTGATCTTGTAGGAAAGATTACAGAGTAAAGAAAATGTGCAAAGCGAAGAAAGCTTGCAACAAACTAAGCAAAGGAGCATATGAGAGCATATGAGAAATTGGGAGAGTATTTGGGCCGAAGAGGAGTATTTGGACTTGCAGTGTTGTTGTGGCCCAAAGAAACAGTTTGTTTTTATTTTTATTTTTTATAAATAGTTATGTTTTGTACAAATTTTGTTTTTGATTTTTTTTTAAATTTTGTGGTGGTGACACATGTAGAAAGTTGCTATTTGTGGTACTGAATTTATATATAGTTATAGATTGGTTTGAAAAATTGATTATTTCATCACTTCCTATAATAATCGAGTAAAGATTTTTGTTAAAAAGAATATGATTAAAATTTTGAAAATACCAACTAACTTTTTGACTATGAAAGAACTACGCCATTTTATTATTTCAATTTCAACCATGGTTGACTAAAAAATTTATTTAAACCAAACTTATACAAGTATAATTTTAAATGGATTAAATATGTTTAGTCTACTAAATAAATGAATTTTATTTAGGTTTATATCTCATTTTTATAAAATTGCATATATACGAATCGTCCAAATTGTAATTAAAATTAAAAAAATCTATCAAATTCTTCTTTTAGTTGATTACTAGTATAACTTTTTTCCCCTAAAATAATGTCATTTCAAATCTAGCATTGAACCTACAAGTTAAGAATCCAAAATTTTAAATGGATTATTCACGAGGTAAATGGACATAACTACCCTTCCTTGATTTGAATTTGTATACCTACCTACAATAGAATTAAAATGTCGTAAATTATTTTCAAAATACAATAAAAATAAAATACCAAGAATTTGTGTTTTTTCTCCATTTTCTTATTATTTTAAAACGCTTAATCATATAAAAAACTTCTTAAAAAGTTCGCTGGTGAGTGCAAAGTCTTTATTAACTAACCAATGAAAAATGACCATGTTATTGAACATTGAATGCATGCTTCGTTTTTTCAGTGGATACTGTGATCAAGCCATTTGAGTGCAGAGACGCACCAAAACTACCACCATCATCGCACTCTCGTCATCTTCCCTTTCCTCTCACCGATCATTTCACCATGACCGAATTCTTGGATCTCGAATCCCAAGACGGCGTGCGCATGCCATGGAACGTGATTCCGGGAACGAAGCAGGATGCTCTAAACGCTGTCGTTCCGGTCTCCGCTGTCTACACTCCTATAAAGCACTTTCCCTCCATGCCGGTCCTCAATTACGCGCCTCTCCGTTGCCGCACGTGTCGCTCCATTCTAAATCCCTTCTGCATCGTCGACTTCGCCGCCAAGATCTGGATCTGTCCCTTCTGCTTCCAGCGCAACCACTTTCCCCCGCACTACGCCTCCATCTCCGATGAATCACTCCCCGCTGAGCTCTTCCCGCAGTACACTACCGTCGAGTACAGCTCTGACTCCTCCTCCGGCGCCACCTCCGCCGTGCCTCCTGTCTTCCTCTTCGTCGTCGACACCTGCATCATCGAGGAGGAGATCGGCTTCTTGCGCTCCGCGCTCGCGCAGGCCGTCGAGCTCCTTCCCGAGAATTCGCTCGTTGGACTCATCACCTTCGGGACGTTCGTGCATGTTCACGAGTTAGGGTTCACTGCGGTGCCGAAGACTTACGTCTTCAAGGGATCGAAGGATGTCACCAAGGACCAACTCCTCGAGCAGATGAGCTTCTTCGTCAAGAAGCCCCGACCAGCAGTCGGAGTGGTCGCCGGCGCCCGCGACGGGCTCTCCACGGACAGCATTTCGCGATTCCTCGTGCCGGCGTCCGAGTGCGAGTTCACGATCAATTCGGTAATGGTTGTTGATTTGGAGTGTGTTAGGTGTTAATTTGTGTGTGTGCGCCAATGCTACTCTCGATTTGGTAATACTTGTTGAGTGTCTATGGCAGTGGTTTGAAATGAATTCGGATTGCATATTTGGTGTTGGTTTGTGTCTGTGTGTCTGTGTGCACGCAATCTATTCTCAGTTCGGTAATGCTTGTTGAGTCTCTTGTAGTGGAATGAGATGAATTTAGACCCTATATGGCAAGTTTTTAAATTGTGGAAGTGTTTTTTGTCGCCGCACATGATTTTTTGAAAATTGCTGACAAATGTGATTGATGCAGCTCAATTGCAAATGTGACGTGGTAGTTGAGACTTCAAAAACCTTGACGTTGTGGCCAAAGTTGTTATCATAGGCTTTTTAAAACATTGGCGTTTGGTGTTAAATTGTGTGTTCAAACTCCATTTTCAATTTGGAGATGTGTGTTGAGTGTGTTTTGTGGTGGAATGAAATGCATATGGTACCTATTAATTGTATTCGGTGTGCGCACCCCGCACTCGCTTTGGTAATGTTTGCTGAGTTTCTTTTGAAGCGGAATGGAATGAATTTGGACTGTATTGGGTGTTAACTTTTGTGTTGAATGTTTCTTGTAGTGAAACGAAAGGAATTTGGAGTGTATTTTCTTTTAATTTATGTGTGGTATATTTGTGGTTTGCTTGGCAGGTATTGGAGGAGCTGCAGAAGGATCCTTGGGCAGTGCCGGCTGATCAGAGAGCAACTCGGAGCACCAGCACAGCTCTGAGTATAGCGGCAAGTTTGTTGGGGGCATGTGTCCCTGGCTCTGCTGCCAGAATAATGGCATTTATTGGCGGACCGGCTACTGAAGGACCCGCTCCTGTAAGAGCCACTAATGAAACTTATGTAGTTGTATATGTAGCAATATTTGATTTCTATAATTAGTTAGTGTCGTGGGTTTATCTGGGTGAACTATAATGAGTGAGGCCTGTGATAAATGGAGTGTTTAGGCTGGATGTGAAGGAGCCTTTTCAGAAGCAAAGTGCTGAGGATAATAATTATACTTTTAGTTTTGGTTTCCAAGATTCTTTAAGGATGAGATCCTTCCTATCATGGCTTTATTTTAGAAAGAATTCTCTCGTCCTTATTCTCAAAATACGACATCCTTTAGGCAAAATGAAAAAAACTTGTGCGGGAAAATGTTATGTCCTATATCATTAGTCATTGCAAGTTTTTTCTGTAACGAAGGATGACAATTACTGGACACATTGGGGATAATGATTGGTTAATTTATTGTGTAAGGTTGCTGAGTTGTTTTCTTGCCAGAGCTAGATTATGATGAAGGAATCAGAGAATGAAATGCAATGATTAGCGCTTACAGTGAATTGTAGAAGGATATAGGAATGAACTCTTAAATTGGATTTATTGAAGTTTTGAAGTTGGCTTTTGTGTTGTGGGTCGGGAAAAGTTGTTTTGGGTTTTATAGTTTAGTATCTTCCTTTTCTTTTGTAAGTTCTTTTTTGATGAAGTTATCTAGTTTTACTTTTATTTTAGGTCAGCATTTGTAGCTCCATTTCAGTTCATTTGATGATTTTGGAGTATTTTGAGCTGAGGTTTCTTGTGTGGGTCTTTTCCTTTTGGTCCTTTCTCAGCCTTTGGGCTTCTTTAGGAGTATATGACACCCTCTTTTGTACTTTACCCCCTCCACTTTAGTATCTGAACACATATTTTAGTTATGGATGCATTTACTATGTTGGCACTTTTTAATTGGCATGTACAATGGATCTTAATGTTTTGAATGCCTGCATCATGGGAATGTATTCAACTAATTGCATTTTCTTGAACTGGTGAAATGGGTTTGCATCAGGGACAACTATGAATTCCATCTCACTTGAATGGTTAAGGACATTTAGTTGATTCTATCTTATGAACTATTGTATGTTGCAGATTGTATCTAAACAACTTTCTGAACCAATTCGCTCCCACAAGGATCTGGATAAAGATTCTGTGCCACATTACCATAAATGTGTGAAATTCTATGATGGACTTTCGAAGCAGCTTGTACATCAAGGACATGTGCTAGATCTCTTCGCTTGTGCTCTTGATCAGGTAATGTTCACTTTAATCAACTGACCTTTTCTGGTTAGTACACAGCATTTTACTTGTGTATAAGTTGACCAATGTTTGTTTCTGTTTCTCCTAAAGAACCTTTCACTGTTAAGTTTTTCCAAGCTTAAATTTTTTAAATGACTGTCTAACTTCCAAGTATCCAGTGTAATCAAGAGTTTGTACGATGGTTGTTGTTGTTTACTTCTTCCATTTGTTGTTTATTTCTTCCCAATCTTTAATATATTTACTTTTCCAAAGTGGTGTATGCAAAAGTTTTGTTGTATGTCAAATCTTCAAGCTTATCCTTGCATCTTTTTCTTCGATAATATTGGCTGGGTTAAAAACCTTGTTGAATATAAAATATTACTACTATGCTTAAACAAATGCTCCAAATAGTAGCAAAAATTCCATGTTGCATTAAATTTAGTCTCTTTGCTTCTAATTCTACCAAAACCACCTATAAAGGCCAAATACAACATGGGCATAATATTACACAAATATGGGAACACAACAATTTCTCAAAATTTAGTATATGATATGTATTGGAGATCTCATTTCGACTAGAAGTATGAACAAATTATAATATGTTATTAGAGCCTATTTTAGTAAGGTATGTTGGGCCTTTTGTCCCACCTGCTATTGGACCGCCTATCAATATCAAGTCCTACGCTCTCAAAATATCTAATCCTTGAGTGCGAGAGGGTGTATTGGAGATTTCAATCCACTAGAGATATGACAATTATAATAATATTTTATTGGTACATAAAAAAAAATTTATAAAATATTTTATAAAAATGAAAGATATTGATAGAGGCATTGATCCTTTCTCATTAATTCATAATTATGAAAATCACAATTTATATATAAACATTTGTGATCATAACCAAAAACCTTGAACTCTAAATCTATATCATAATCAGTTTTTGCCTACTATATCATTATAAACATCTTTGGTATAACTCATAACAAGTAATAGCCTACAATTCAGAAGCATTGCTAAATTACTGTCTGCAATCATTTTATCATTTGATATTCTCTACTCTATAAAAATACTGATATCCATTCTATGCTATGAGAACAAAAGATTCTGTGTAAATGACTTTTACCAGTTCAAATAATTTTTTCCCCACAAACACATTCTTTTGGCCAAGGTTCTTTTTCTTCCCCTGACTTGTTATTTTCCTCTTCCTGATCTGTCGTGCCTGAAATCTTATATTTTTAATTGTTAGATTTTAATTTTGTGGAAGAAAAATTGTTCAATCAATATTTTTAAAAGAAGCTTAAGTGGTCTTTGTTATTTCAAGGCAATCCTTCCAATGAGCCATAATTCTAATGCCTCCTCTCACTGTTAATAATTAGATTGTCCAAATTCATAATTCATGTAGTCCGAAATCCCTGGTTTGTTTATGGTTAAAATAAAAAAATAGGGGATAATTTTGTTACCTATCCTATCTGGTTTCATTTCTGGTGAACTTGTGTGATGTGAAACTTTATAGCGTTTTAAGTGGTCTATATTGCTGACAAAAGTGTCATTCCTCAATTTCTTTAGATAGAAATTTCTATTTGTTGTTGTTTTACTTTGTATAATTTTCATAATAAATATTAAATTTCTACTGTATTATATATCCTCCAGGTTGGAATTGCTGAACTTAAAACTGCTGTTGAAAGGACCGGAGGCCTTGTTGTACTTGCTGAAAGTTTTGGCCATTCAGTGTTCAAGGATTCCCTTAAGCGTGTTTTCCAATCGGGTGATTATGATTTGGGTCTATCTTCAAAGTAAGTCTAAATAATATATGGATCTTCTTGAGATGTTTCTTGTTTGTGAAGTAAAGGATAAGTGTTTGCGTAAATTTATTATTGCTAGTTGATCTTCTATGTTAGTTAAATACTAAACAGTATTATAGTTACATTTCTGTGATTAGCTAGCAGTGTATAATTGTATAACATTGGAAAACAAGTTGGTTCTTGTTCAAATGATAAGTTTTAGAGCTAGGGAAGAAGTTAATGACAAATTGATAGAAATCCCAAGAAAATAAGATGGAAACTAGAGAGGATCAAATTAACATAATTTTGTTGAAGAGCAGAACAGAAAATGGAGGATAGAATTCTCCCCGCTGATTTCCTTTCCACAGAGGATCGCTCCTTTCATTAATGCAATATATAAAATTCATTGAATGCCTTCTGATTTCTCCTATTTATAACTAATTTCTTCTAACTAACCAACAGACTAACAGCTGTCTTTATTCACTTTCATTATATGTCCTAATAGAAAATATAGTTGTCACAATGGATATATTATTGATGATGTAATATAATATCATAACCTAAAACTCCTGTTAGTAGTAATACTTATGTCAAGCACTAGTACTACTAGCCCCCAAACCATCTAACAATAAAACTATTAGTCCATATATCTTTTAATACTCTCCTTCAAGTTTCAGCTTGTTACAAGTTTTGTGAAAGAAAAACAGTGAAGGAGTTGATCAGTGCTTTTAGCTGTACAGAATCTCTAAATATATTATGGTCCTAACCTGCGTGTTCTATGGCTGCTGATTTGCTGACTCAATCGGCTCCATTCTTTTATGTATTAGAAGAACCAAGCTTTGACACCAAGTTAGTACTGGATAATAATAGAGCATAAATGCTGCCATGAACATAGCCTTACTACAAATGAATATCATTCCAAGTTTAGACATATATTAAACCCTTTTAACAGTTAGTATAGATGGTCCTCCTGACTCTCATGCTTTACTTTATGTATTTGATTTTTATTTCTTATTTAACTTCTTTTTGCAGTGGGATATTTGAGATAAACTGCTCTAAAGATTTGAAAGTCCAGGGTATTATTGGCCCTTGTGCATCTCTTGAAAAGGTATCTAGAAGATATTGCCTCTTTTCTGCTACTTATCTCCACAACATAGATGCTTATCTACTTCTCTGTATCTGCAGAAAGGTCCATTATGCTCAGATGTTGTTATTGGTCAAGGGGGTACAAGTGCATGGAAGATGTGTGGCCTTGACAAATCCACATCATTGTGCCTATTTTTTGATGTTGTGAGGAAGGAAAGTCCTGATGCAGCCATGCAGTCCGCAAGCAATCAATTTTACTTCCAATTCTTGACTTAGTATGAAAACCGTCTCTATCCTCCTTTGAGTAATCTTTTGTCTGTTATGGTAATGTACATGAAATATTTCTCACTCATCACAGATGTTTTGCTTCAGTTATCAGAATAGCAGTGGGCAAATGAGATTACGGGTTACGACACTTTCACGTAGGTGGGTTGCTGGACCAGAAAGTATACAGGTAAGGTTTCATCTGCAACATTTTGATTCATTATACTTAATTCTTTTGATCTCTATTCATTACTATCAATTCGTTTGTTTGGAGTTTTTGAATTGCAAATGTGATAAAAATGAGTTTGGATATGATGCACTGTACATTTTACATTGTGATGCAAAACAATGACTTTTTTTTTATTACACTTTCTACCACTATATTCCTTCTCTTGCTTAGCTTCCTTGTTGGAAGCTCATTTGTTTTGTGGTAATTGCTTGAGCTGATTGGTAAGTGGCAAGTCTAGGCTTTGGAGCTGCAGTGCAATTAAGACAACTGGTGAATGGGTTGGTATTTAGGAAGTAGATTGCTTCTTTTATGATGAGCAAATGGGCTGCTGTACTCCTTTGAGCTGAAATATTGGCCATTTATTCCTTTCTTGTGTTTGTAGATGGATTTGATTATCCTGTACCCATGTTAAGTTATCTGACTTGTGACTTAGAGGTCACATAGAATCTAATCCTCAAAATAGCCTATGGTTGTGGGAGTTAGACTGGTTACATCTACCCTCCCTGACCCCATTACATGTACACCTTGTGCATTGGTCACCATTTTGTTAGTTTATTCCCCCATAATGATGAGCGGTTATTTGTGGTTTTTCATTTAGAACTTGGGCTTAGGGCCTAACCTTACCCTTCAAAATTGTATTGTAAGGAGAGGACTGTCCATGCCTTATAAAGACAATTTAGACCATACCCCTACTCAATATGGGATCGTAAGTGCTAGGAGTACATGTCCCAGTGGCTCCACTATGACACTTCATTTAGCCATTTTGCTCAACCCATTTGTAGGTAGTCCTTTCAGTGACACTATGACCTAGGGGTGACTACTACTAAGGTGGGTTTTCAACACACACCTCATGCCTCGGGTCTATAGGCTTGGAACAGGGCAATGCAGTTGGCCTAACAACAGATCTAGGATATACTCTAGTATATTTGGATTTAGGATATGAAATTAAGTCATACCACTGGTCGATATGAAATTAAATACTGCCCCTTCAACGCTGCAGTTAAGACAGCCCAAAGAAGCTACTGCTAAGGTGTATTATGGCCATGTGCTAAAGATGATGTGAGCTTAATTTAAGCCCCGAAAAGGAGTGAGGATAAACCAAGCCATTTTCAGGAGTAGTACTATGTGGGATCTTAACACAACCCTTGCTGCTGGAATTGGTTTGCATGTGGACCGTTATCAAGGTTGGGTAAGTGTCGATACCTTGTCCAACTCCTGTTATAATTAACTGAGCTTAACTCTAAAACCTAGCTGAGGTAAGGTGCGGTATTGCTGAAGCCATTTGTAGAGTACTTTTGCCATATACCTAGCTAATGTGGGTTCTTCAAATGTGTGATAAACAGCGCTTATGGTTTTTCTTGTTGCATGGGATAATTTTTCAAGTAACTTGAGTGCTCTAATTCTTTGTTGGTGTTTTGAAAAAAAAAAAAATCATTTGTTTGTTATTTTATGAAAAATTTCAGTTTTTCTATAAAATTTATGTCTAAAATTTAGGACTTGATTGCTGGATTTGACCAAGAAGCAGCTGCTATAGTCATGGCACGTCAAGTCTCCTTCAAAATGGAAACTGAGGTGAGTGCTAGATGTTTTTTTCACTTTTGTTGTATTTGGATAAATGTATCAACCTGCTACATGTGTGTGGAAGGGATCCACTTATTGTTGAAGTAAGTCACAAAAATTTACTTTGCTTTATAGTTTTTTGTAGAATAAATATTTAATATTCCTTATTATTGAGTTATATGAGATATTATCTTGAATTTTCTATATATATAAAATGGCACTGCTAAAGCATCACAATGTTATTTGTCATTTCAACTGTGTTGGCACCACAATTAACAAAATCATCTGCAGCACCTTAATCCATCAAATAGAAGAGAAAAAAACAAGAGTGGAAATTATCCCAACTATACATGGTTTTTCTGTCCTTTATGAATGCCACCAGACTCATCTTTGCTTGCCTGAGCCTGATCTGTATTTCTGGCCCATCCTGTTGTCTGAACCAGCCAAATCACCTGGTAATTTTGGGCCTCAGTTCATCTTCCTTGGTTATGTGTCACCTGGCCGAGTCCCATGCCGAAAGTCCTACAAGTCTATTCCCACATGTCCAAACTGAAAAGATGCTCCAAAAAGGAGAGTCGGGCAATAGTTAGAGCAGAGAGAAATTGGAAGATAAATTTTTTGTATGATTTTGTTTTCCTGTTATGCATTGCATTGGGCTAGGGGATTCCTCCATAGCAGGGAGCGTATGCTCTTATTTTCATCAGTGAAGACTCTCACCTTAATTCAGTAATATTTTCTCCTCTTGGATAGGACTTGATCTTATCATTTTGTCTCATAGCAGTGCTATGGTTGGTCTCACAAACCAGGAAAATCATGTCAAAGTTTGAAAATGCCTTCTCCTTGAATAATTGGATCCCTGTCATGTGCGTGTATATTAATTTACAGAACTAAAATGCATTATAATTAATTGCTTCCTGTTTTAGAAATCATGTAGAAAAACTATTTGGAGGTTTTTTTAATTATTCTGTTAATTGAGATTTCAAAATCAAACTCTGCAAGAGTGGAAGGAAAATCCAACAACATTTAGTTAATCCAGCTAAAAAATTACATTCTACATGAAAAGTTGCATGGGGCTTCCTTTGTTTCTCCTTCGATGAAGAAGAATGAAGATTATACTAGTGTATACTAAGTATATTGACAAAGAATCAATAGTCTCAGAAGTACCCTTTCCCACATGACACACCCATAGTTGTCAGAACTGAGAACCTGCTCATCTCTTTCTCATTGACCTTCTTATGTGGTTTTGTGCCCTTTTAAAGTTCTGATGTTTTGCATTGTTATAATTCTGGAATATCAGGCTGAATTTGATCCTATCAGATGGTTGGACAAGGCATTGATAAATTTATGTTCCCGATTTGGGGAATTTCAAAAAGACACACCATCTTCTTTCAGTTTGTCTCCCAGGTTGTCAATATTCCCACAATTTATGTTTCATTTCCGGCGCTCTCAGTTTGTTCAGGTGTTGTATTGCCGGATCTTTATAAGTTTGTGATATTGTGCAGTAACATTTTGTACTTCAATGTTTACCTATTTCCTTAATTATATTTATCACAGGTCTTTAACAACAGCCCAGATGAGACTGCTTACTTTAGAATGATACTGAACCGTGAAAATGTTGCTAATTCTGTTGTCATGGTTCAACCTTCGTTGATTTCTTATTCATTCCATTCTGGTCCTGAACCAGCTCTTCTTGATGTTGCGGCCATTGCAGCTGATAAGATGCTGCTTTTGGATTCCTTTTTTACTGTTGTTATTTTTCATGGTTCAACAATTGCTCAGTGGCGTAAGGCTGGCTATCATAATGAACCGGAACATCAGGTATTCTTTGAACATACTTTTGCTAATCTGAGAATAACTATGCAATGGAGTTTTGGTCTGAGGTTTTTGTTAGAGAATTACAGTATTCAACTTGACTATATCACCAAGAAAGTTTAGAGTAGTAATAGGTGAAATTGTTTCTGTATTTTTGTTAATTTCAGTGGTCAAGCAAATTATTGTAGATTAAAGGCTTTTATTGATCACATGGGTTTAAGATTAAATTCAGTACCATGCTTCAGCTTGCGGCTAAGGTTAATTTTTAAGGTATAGAGTTATGTTTGCAGCTACTGCAAAGTTTAGATAAATCTAACATCTCCTTGGTTGCAGTTAGGCAACGGTTTTATATTTGGGCCTTAGTTTTCGGAGCTTTTATCATTTAAGTCTTAACTCTTGAGTGCGGAATCCATGGTATGGCCTGTGTTATGTCAAACCAACTTGATAATTTGAATTGGTCTTTGAACACCTTTCTCAGGTCATTGTAAGCTTCTATTAGTGTTTTGCTTGGGTTCATAGTGTCTAAAATAGGGATGATAATTAAACTTGTACCGTGGGGACCGACTTGTCCCCGTCCCGAGTTTGACGGGAAAAAACCGAGTTGAGTGTGGGCGGGGCGGGTTCGAGTTTTCCTCGCTTTAAAAGGTCGGGGCGAAGACCCCGACCCCGTTCCTACTTTATATTTAAATTTAAATTTTAAAATATTAATATTTTAAAAGTATTTTCTTTTCTATTTTTATTATATATAAGGTCATTCTTTTATATTTTACCATTTTTACTTTTCTTCTACCCACTTTTTAATTTTTTGTCTTTTTTAATCTTTTATATCAATTAATTTATTACATTATTCTCTTTATCTTACCTTTCAGCTTTTTCACATTTCCTTAATCTCTCAAATCAATTTGTTTTTTTTTAATCTTTTCAATCAATTTGATGAACACAAAGTTATTTTTTTCTTTATCTTTTTCTAAATATTTTACATAAATCTTAGTAATAACTAATATTATTTTATTTATAATTTATATTTGTTAGGTTGTATTATGTCATATTTTTTGGATCTTATTATTCTTATGTGTCATATATTAAATTTTATCTAAATAAAATAATTATATTTTAAATGATTAAAAAAATTGATAATTTAAACTTTTATTACTTCGAACTAACTAAATATGAATTAAATTATTAAATATTTTCTTATAAACTATATATTTCATATTTTTAAATGACAACATAAAAATGAATTAACTTATATATGTAATACAAGTATAATAATAATAATAATAATAATAATAATAATAATATTATAATAAGTATTTAAATATTTGAATATAGTATTATAATAATAATAATAATAATAATAATGTTATAAATATTCTATATATATATATATAAATAAAAATGATTAAATATTTCTTTTACATACATATTTTAATATAAATATAATAAATTAAAAAATATATTTAATTAATAATAATTACAAATTGTAAAATTATAAATATTTATTTATATATAAAAGATACATAGTAAAATTAATTTATTATAAATATAATTATATTTTTAAAAATAATATAGATTGGGGATGAGGCGGGAAACCCGAAATCCGGCGGAACGGGAATGAGGACTTAATTTCTAACTTCGACGGGGATTGAGATGGGGACGAGATGGTTAAAAAAGTTGGGGACGGGGATCGAGGAGGCAAAACCCGCCCCCGCCTTGGTCCCGTTCCACCCCGTTGCCATGCCAGACTCTAGAAAGAACCTCACTACTTCACATGCTCTTACCTTGACAATTTATTTGATTAAGTCACTATATTTTGCAGGCATTTGCTCATTTGCTACAAGCTCCTCATGATGATGCAGATCTAATAATGAAGGAGAGATTTCCTGTACCTCGCTTGGTCATTTGTGATCAGCATGGTTCTCAGGTTATTTCCTATTCCTTCTTGCCATTGATCACCTCATAATACAATTGTGTTGACTGGCTTGCTACTACTGGTTGTTTTTCATTGCTAATAATTAATTACCCTTTTTTTTAATAACCGTGCTGTCATCCCAGAATTATTTTTCTCAGGTTTTTCTTTTAATTTTGTTCTTGTATCTCACTCAGCACTTCTATACATGGACACCATCTAAGAACTCCCAAGTATCTTCAATTATTATCATTCTCCTTGAGAAATCTCTCCTGCGCATATACATAGCGCCAACACACACACACACACACACACACACACACACACATATATATATATATATATATATATTAAATAGTTTATGCATTTTATAAAGGATATATTAACGAATATCAAAGATATCATCTGGTTGGAGGCTTCAGAATTTTCCATTTCATCCTTTTATTGGTGATTTTAAAGTTCATGGTGGTAATTTGCAACGCTACACAGATTGCATAAATATCATTAGTTGTGGATTCAATTTGAAATAAATTACTTTTTGTTAAATAATTATACTGACATGTTATGTTCACTCAACTAATTACATTTAATGTAGGCCACTGAAAAACATGTATCTCACAACTGTAAATTTGGTATATACTTTTTAAGTTTCCCATGTATGGATTGATTGCTTTTAATAATAGACCGTCACATACATACGTAGAAATTATCTAAGATTAAGCAAGCTTGTCAGTCATGGGACCTTTATGTGTGATTAGAAGGGTTTATACCTCATTTACTAAAGCAAATGAATGAATCTGATATTCGATATAGTGTGGAGCGATTGTGTGTAGAAAATCCATTAAAGTTATTGGTGCGGAAAAACTATTGATGCTATGGTTTTTTCTGTAATCCTTGTGTAGTATGTGCGTTCCCTTAATAACCATTGGAAGGAAAAAAAAGTTAATTCACCTATCTATCAGTTTCTTTTTAAAAGCTCTCCCTGTACAAATTATTTATATATATATGATAAGAATAATTCTTGTTTATTGGTGAGCTTGGATTTGAATATAGCTGTAATTTAATTTATGTGGTTCATATGCTTTGAACTACTATATATGCATATTTGTATTTTTTTTTCAGTGACTAGGTCCATTTGTTTTCCAATAATATGTTTTGTGTTTTTGTGTGTATGTTATATACGGGCAGGCTCGATTTCTACTAGCAAAGTTAAATCCTTCTGCGACTTACAACACCGAAAATTATCAACCTGGAGGAGATATTATCTTTACTGATGATGTTAGCTTTGAGGTCTTCCTGGATCACTTGCAAAGATTAGTTGTTCAATAAAATTATGTGGCCTTAGACTTTTTATGTAAAATTTTCCTACCATTGCTGCTTGTACATTAACTTCATTTAGTATGCTGTTATACTTTCCAATTTTGTGCAAAATGTTGTAATTATTTGGAATCGAGCTCGCAAATCAGTTACACAAGAGTAAATCTATTTTTGTAGCTATTTATCCAGGTTTAAAGTTTTTCGTTGGTGGCGAAAGTTTCTCCTATGTTCTAGTCGATCAGTTTGGAATTATCTGGCTGTGACAGCAAACATTGCCGTAAAATCCTAAAGTGTTGGGATCTACCAAAATCCACTTTGATGTATTGTATGGTGTAAGTGTTGTAGTTTAATTGAAACCGGTAAAAAGGCTAGCTAATGGTTGATTAGTTCAAAAGTAATTTTCCAGTTACTTGTCAAGGTCTACATTTCCTACTTCAAATACGAGATTGAGTATCTTTCCTCACTAAGAAAATTAGATATATCCGAAGAATTCGTTTTACCCTCAGGACTCGTCAAAAAAGTTATCAAGATAAATTTTATTTGTTTGTAATAGAATGAATCAAAATAATGATGAGGAATCTTTATTTTCATGCATCATGACTCACTTCTTTAATTATGAATTATTTGTTATTCTCAATTGTTAATCATATAAACGTAAAATTTCCATTGAAGTATGTTAGCATAAGTTTACTACTCAGTTTACTCTCATCAATAGAGTGCCTAATTTATTTTAAAAATAACAATATCTATTACCGATATTTTCTTATACAACAAATATATGAAATGGGTAAATTATCATGGATATTGCAACAGCAGAGTCTGATACACTTAAAATGTATTAAAATATACAAAATAAATAATAAGATAGATGAATATTTTGTTTAGACAACTTTTTTAAATATCATAAACAAACGCCTGATATTTGTGTATTTAAAGAGAAAAATTATCATATTTTTGTCACGAACGTTTTGTTTATAAAAAGTTGTTATTTTCTTTACCTATCTGAGGAGCTGCTCATTTATTTTATGCAAAGTATCCGTTTGTCTTATGTTTCCTCTCTTTTTGAATTTGCTCTTCTAAATTTTTGAAATGGATTTCTCCAACTTTTGTACACTTTATGTTATAAACTATTAACACCTTGCATTTCTTCTATTTTTTTTATCCCAAAGGATTGATATAATTTCGAAGAGGAGAATATCATAAAAAGTGAGGTTTTTGTGTTTAAGAAGATAACTCTAATAATAATAATAATAATAATAATAATAATAATAATAATAATAATAATAATAATAATAATAATAATAATAATAATAATAATAATTTTTTTTTAATAAAAGAGATTTAGAAAATTTCTAAAATAACGGAGTCTCTTCATTTATTTATTCATGATATAACATTATTTTGTTAAGCAACTTGTCATCTAAGATTTTTCCTTTCTAATGTTACTTTTTTTTTTTTAAGTTTTTCCTCAAACACGTTTTAATTACAAATGTTCATAATTAAGACTTAAACTCAACAAACCAAACCCAACCACACATAGGGATGGGTTCATTCGATAAATTTTTTAAAAATAATGTAAAAAATGAAAAGATATTTAATATTTTATTTTATAAAATTATTTTAAATAGATAAATTTAATTAAATAATATATATATATATTAATAATTTATACTAAATTTTATTTGAATATTATTTTTTTAATAATATTAGAGAAGTTAAATTTATAAAATGAAATAACAATAATCACACACATATGTGATCCTTACCTAATAAAAAGTTCAATAAAAAAATTGTCTTCCCTCTTATTATTACTTTTATAAATTATCATCATCCATTTGTTATAAACTGCATTATATTAAAATTAAAATAAAATTGTAAATGTTTGTTAAGGATTTCATTGTTAATTGGGTAGAAAATAGTAAAATTGTTGTGTTTTAAAAATTGGAGGGATAATTAATTTTTTTATTAACAGTGAGACTAAATTAAATAAATAAGTAATAAAATAAAATGATATTAAATATTAAAAAATTAATGATAACCATGGATCACATCCAAAATCAAATAAACAATTAAATATATTATTAGAAGCGAGAATCAAATTATGATAAATAGTTTTATGATAAAACAATATATTATTCTTTCATTTAAATTTCATTATTATGTATTTGAAGGGGATAAAATTACTTAAATATTTTTAACCCGGTCTTAGTTTTGTACAATAATAGTATTTTTTTAGAAAGTTTTTCTAATAATTTCGCTTAATAGACTTGGTGATAACTTTTTTCTAATAAATCTTTTCTTGTTCTCTAGTTGTCCCAGTTGCAACAACAAAATAAAAAATAAAGAAAGAAAAACAATGAAAAAAAAAGATTTACGAAAATAAATAACAATTTATTGATCAAGATTTCTTTGTCACAATTCTGTATTTGATTCTGCATAAAAGTCCATCAGCTTCAGTATTTGATTCAGATTGCACAAACCAGGGTTTGTAAGCAGCTTCTGAACAAATCATCATCATCATAATAACTCCAATCATTTTCATCTCAAATTTTGCCATAATCCTTCTCTAAATCTTTACAAACTATATATTTCTCAATATTTTTGTTATTCTCAAATCTTTGTTCCGGTGTTTCATTACTCTTTAAAACATTTAGTTCATAAAACGTGTTTAAAACATAAATATATATTAGTATAACATATAAATATTTGATAACTTATCTATTAAGTATGGATATTGTTACATTCATTAAATAGATTATGTTAATTATAGGATATTAATTTCATAAATAAAAACTCTTCATGTTTTTTTATTTAGGTTCTTTTAATGAACACAGTAGAAATAATAAATTTTCTATTTTACTTAAATTAAGTAAAGAGTAGAGTATAATTGAAATAAATGGTAATTAATGATTGTTATTTTACACTTTTAAAATGTTAAATTGAAAAAAAATTAATAAATGTAATAATTTCATTCTTATTAATGTTTAAAAATGATTTTAATGTATGTAATATAGAAGTTTTTATATGGTTCCTGAATTTTGTTTTGGTCCTTCTTAAATTTCAAATTATTATGTTCTGTCTTTTAAAAAAAAAATCTTTTCTTATTTATTTCTTGTGTTTTCTCTCTCTTTTTTTCTCATATTTTATTTTTTTAATTTTTTCTCCACTTATTCTTCTAATAAAAATATTATATTAAAATTTATTAAAAATATATTAAAGTAAATAATTTTATTTATATGATAAAAAATAATTAATTTAAATTTATTTTATCATAATAAATTAATTATTCATCTAATTAAAAATATAAAATATTTATTACCTTTTTATTTAATAATTTAATTTAATTTAATTATAATTATGTTGAATTATGATTATTAATTAATTTAAATAATTTAAAATAAATAATTTAAAATAAATATTTATTTTTATAATATTGATTTTAAAAAAAATATTTTAATATTTTATTAGAAAAATAAAATATAATAGAACAGAGAAAAAATAAAAGATGAAAAAAAGAGAAAAAATAATAAGTAAATGAAAAGGAAAAAAATTACTTTATATTATAAAAATTTTATTTTCTATAGAATGAACAATAAATATATTTAAGTAGATAAATAAATTATTAAAAAAATAATTTTTTAAAATATATTATTTATTTGATTGTTGGTAATTATAATTGTAGTAAGATTCATATATTTAAAACAAACTATTCATTATAAATTTTAGTGATATAAATATAAATAATTTATCATACAACAAGTAGAAATAATTAAGTAATTCTTCCATAATTTAAAAGAAAAAACAAATTAGATAGAATGACAGAATATTTTGTTTAAAATTAAAAATATATAAATAAGACAAAAACATTAGTCCAGAAATAAAAAAGAAAATAATTCTGTGGAAAAAAAAAAATCATGACTTTCTTCTTCTTCTTCTTCCCTGAACCCACACAGTTTCATCGTTCAACTTTCTCACATTATCTTGCACCAACTTAACCCTACTTTCACATTCCTTTTTGTTAATTCCTACCATGTAAGTTTACTCATTCTTGATTCGTTTCACTTCATGGTCTCTAAAATTTTACATTTTCACTTATCTGTATAATTGCAGTGAAATTCATGTATGTGGGGAGTTTCATTTTGTTCCTTTTAAAAAAATAAAAATAAAAAATTGCTAGAGCTCAAGTACTGTTGAATTTTCCAAGGAAAACTTTGTTATTCAAATGGGTTTGTTTAATTTTGTAAGATGAGTTCAGATAATGTCAATTTGTTACTGTTTGTTGAGATTTTGAAATATTGGGATTCAGCACTTATCTTTCATTTCTTTTGTTGATGGTAAGCTCAATTTGGTTTGGGATTGCATATTAAAAATTGTTAGTAAAGCACTTGTCTTCAGATGTGGTTATTCTCCAGTGTAGCTACAGATTAAACTTCCTGTTCAAATTGGATGTAAAACCATTTGAAGCATCATTGACGAGATGGAGAAGAATATTGAGATAGTTGTTAAAAGGGATCTTATGATGAATAATATCAATAAAAAATTGGTCTTAAACCAAAGCTAATGAAACCCTGTGATCCATGTAGCTAAAAGTACTTAGTAGAATAAGGCTTTGTTGGTGTTAAAGTTTTTTTTTTTTTTTTTTTCAAAATGTATTTATTAAAAATTTAAGTAGATAATCTCAGGATCGAATAGTTGTCATTGCATGACGATTTCATCACTGTTTTCTTATCAGTGGATTTAGAGGGTGTGGCAGAAACAGTTGAAAATTCTACTGATAAAATGTCAGCAGCATGTGAAGGCAGTTCTATTGGGGAGCCAAATGTTGGTATGGAGTTTGAGTCAGAGGAAGATGCCAAGAAATTCTATGAGGAATATGCAAGACAGGAAGGGTTTGTTGTGCGCCTTGATCGCTGCCATCGTTCTGAAGTTGACAACCGAGTAATTTCACGCCGTTTTTCCTGCAATAAGCAAGGTTTTCATGTGAGGGTTAGAAATAAAACAAAGGCTGTTCATAAACCACGGACTAGCATAAGAGAAGGTTGTGAAGCCATGATGTTGGTTAAAGTTAATAAATGTGGGAAGTGGGTGGTTACAAAATTTGTGAAGGAGCACAGTCATCTGCTAAATGCTTCTGGTTCACCTTCATATAGTAAAATGATTGTGAGTTTTATCTTCTTCAATCCTAACATCTCCATGTATTGATGATATTCAAAATTTTTTAAATTGAATACAGTTGAGTTGCATATTTTACTTTGATCTATTGCAATTTTGAACCAAAAATGTCTTTTAAAGTAGTTATTCCTGTTGTCACACCTTTAACTTTTGAAACGATAGTCTTTAATCTTGAATATTATGAAAGATTGTTGCCATAGGAGTTCATTACATATCGCCAAATTTACTATATTTATGAAACGTAAAGATCTGTAAATCACAGATTTGTTGCTCTTTCTAGGAAGGTAAAATCATTTGTTACTTTATGTTCTTTAAGGTAGCATGTAGTAGTGAGTGACTATTATATTTTAAATATTGCTATTGTTGTTTGTATCCTCAAAATTGTCTAGATTGAAAACCATTGATGTATTGCACACTCTTATTTCATTTTCTTTTCTTATCATCCACATTGCTGACAAGATTAAGTTAGTATAAAGTTCTTACATTAGCTATAATTTTGTTTTTGTTATTAAGAATCAAGATTTATTTAGTCAAAAAAGGATTTGAAAACATAAGGATCAGAGACAAATTTTAAAAAAAGTATAAAAATTAAAAACATACAATAAATTATTCCCTCCCTTCCCACTGTGCTACATTTTGGTCCTTTTGGCTATATAATGTCCAAATATGATGTGAAGCTATACTTTTAGTACATGTGACCACAGGATTTCTCCAGCAGTCTCTTCAGGAACTTCAGGAAACTGATGACAGTGGAGAACTTTTCCTTGTAGATCAGTTTTGAATAATAAGCGAAATGTTACTCAAAATGATCATTTGATTGGAGTGGAATTTTACAGAACAGTAGACATGTTCTTATCTTAGCATCTTCACCTGAACTTTCCTTGCATATTTCTAAGTTTAACAACATAGGTCACCCTTCTAACCATGTATATTCTGTGGCAAACTTTTGTGAAGGGCTTTACTTCATCAAAAACATTTGTATCTACATTTTGAATTAATCCATCTATGAAATCTTAACAATTTTGTTTCACTTACTTCCAGGAGTCAAAGGATAGGATAATTCAACAACTCACAGAGGAACTTGAGCACCGAGATCGATTATGTCAGCAATATCGCAGGCTGCTATTCTCCCTTCTGGAGACTGTTGAGGATCAAACACAAAGTTTATCAAAAAATGTTGAGCTTGTTCTTAACAATATAAAAAAAATTGAGAATGAAATGCAAAAACCTTATAACAAACTTCCACACAGGATTTGTTAGAAAGCAAATTCTTTGCTTCCTCTTTTATACTAACCTTTGTCTAATGTAAAGAATTGCAATGAATAGGTTCTTGGGAGATGATGTGAAGAAAATCTCCTTTGTAAGCTTTATAGAATTCATGTTACATGCGCCAGATTCATTATTACATTGTTTTTCCTCTGTTAATAATTGATCATCCAATTGCAGTTACATGCATTGTTCATACACTTTCTGTCATTGTTTTCAAAATCAGACCGGTCACTTCAATCAATTTAACTGATAATTATCTCATATTAATTATATTAATTTTAAACAATAATTATTTTATTATATTTTTATCTTATTTTAAATAATTATCCACCTTACATTATTTAATATATTTTATATTTATAATCTTCATTATAATTTATGATGATGATTATAATAATAATTTTTATTATTTTTACTTTTTTTATAAAATAATAATATTATTAATGAATTTATTAAATTCGGTTAAATCTTTAAATCTTAATCTATAACATCATCCGTGAATTCAATTTTAAAAATATTATTTTCTTCTAATGTTTAGATTTTTACCAGTAAGCGAAATTATTATAAAAACTAAGTAGTGCACTTACACCACTAGTTTACTTTTGGATTAAAGGAAATTTTAATCCAAATATGTATTTAATGAGGTGTTAAATTAAGATATATTTAAAAATTTATATTTCTTTATAAATATGCATAAAGAAGATCTTTATCTTGAACTGAACATTTATTTATAATAAATTTTTAATTGAGTTCTTCATTTTATTTTTCTTTCTAATATATGGAAAGTCTTTCCTTATTTGTTTAAAAACTTACTTTTAAGTTTGATTATAAATCATTTACTTTTCTATAGTTTGTCCAAACAGTCTTCTAATATTGTAATAAGATTGAATATATTAGAAATAATAGACTTATTTTTAAACCAAATTATTTCTTTAATTAGTGAATAAAGACATACAAGTCATCATCATCAAATATAATGATTACGTTGTCTTGAATATATCATCTGTGCTTCAAGTAGATTAAATTCTACTTTTTAGAGGAACATGACTCTCTCTCTCTCTCTCTCTCTCTCTCTCTCTCTCTCTCTCTCTATATATATATATATATATATATATATATATATATTATCTGGAAAAAGCATTTATACTTCGACCACAATGTATGAAGATAATCTTTTTAATTGATTCCACAACTTACAGAGAATATATACGGTTGTTTTGAATAGTTATTTTCTATTAAAAAATGAATAGAATAATCATTTTCTATTAAAAAAATGAATAGAGCAATATTCTCTATAAAAGTGTGTATATATGAACTTGATAAAGTTATTCTAATACTATCAATAGTATTGAGTTTAAATATTCAATACCCTATTACATTAAATAGTTGAAAAATAGTTTTATTATATATTAGATCTTTTTGAAGAAAAATCATTTTTTTAATAAAATAATCACTCTTTAATAAATTGTGTATATTTGTATGAACTATTTAAAAAAAAATTAAAAAACACGAAAAGTTGTTTTATGATTGTTTTTTTAATAAAATGTCCTCGTATAGAAAGCTCCTAATTTAAAAAAGTGGTTTTTATAATTGTAAATAAATAAATATAAATTTCAGCTAATATATCAATCAATTATAAATATTTTTTTTAATTTTAAATTAATATTGTTATGATTTATGTTTTGTTTAATAATAAAAATGTCTAAAATATTATTTACTTTATTACGAAGTTAAGTGAATTAAAATTTAAGACTGTTACGAGATTCTTAAAAGAGTTTAACTCAATCATAATTTCATTAGATAAAAGAGATATATGTAGTAAAAAAGAAAGTTATAGTTTTTCATAAAAAAGAAAGAAAGTGAGAGATGAGTGAATAAATACCACCCAAAACAATATCTTCTAACGATCTCTCAGACTCTATATACGAAAGAGAAGAGAAATTGTTAGAAGCAAGAGGGGCTTAACACAGATGGGGCAAGGGTACTCAATGTGTTCAAAGGAAACCTTGATGGCAAGCATTGACAACAATTCAAACATGTCCATTGTTACAAGACTGGGAGCACAAGCAGAGTTGAAATACAAGCTGTTTAGTTCAAGGGGTCATCTCAGGTCCGAGTTCAAAGGGATCACCTGCTCTGACCTCGACAACTTGATAAAACTGGCAACAAAGGAAATCAACACAAGTCTAAGCTTTGATCCCTACCATACCTTTTGGCTTAAGGTGCTGCAAGAGTTGCAATCAATGAAAGATGAATTTGCTCCAAATGTTACATCTGAAGGTGATGGTGCTGTTATTCCAATTCCCATTCCCATTCCTAATCCACATGCAGGTGGTACGGTTGTGAGCAACAGTGGTGAACAAAACTTGAGAGGACTTGTGAATCAAAGTGGGTATGTTTCAGGATATGCTAATGGAGCCATTATTTCTTTTCTTGATTGTAAATTTTCACACAAGTAAAGCAAGGATTTGGAAAATGCTTGAATTATTATATATACTTCTGAATATTTATCCTATTTTTAAGATTTGTTTAATCTTTTATTTATTTATTTCGTTTTTTAAATTTTAAATTTGGATCAATTTGGTCTCACTGAAATTATGATCATTTTTCACTTTTTTTTTTAGATTTCTTTTAAATATTCAATACATCATATTTAATTCTATATAAATATTATTTTAAGAAGATTATTATATATATTTTTTTAATATTAATTTTGTTTATCGTGATTTTGTGAGTTTTTTTTTATCTTCTCATGTTAAAATAAACTAATTTATTCTATTTTATCCGTACTATCAAAAATAAGATAAGATGATAGATCATAATATATTTTGTTAAAAGACGAATTAATAGTTTAACAAGTTAGTCAATATTTTTTTATATGCATTTTTTTATATGTTTTTTAAAAAAATATATTTTTAATTATATGAATAATTTTAATTTCTTATATATTAATTAATATTTTATTAAATAAATTGAAAAAATTACTATATTTATATATTAAAATAATTAATTATAATTAATAACTTAAAATTAATTGAATCATATTTATAATTTAAATTATATTATATTTACTTATTTCAATTTTTATTTTTATTTTAATATATAAATATTTTTTTAAATGAATTAGCTTATCTACTCCGTCGTTATCTTACAGGTTTGACAAGATAAAATCTAAAACTGTTAACCCATCTCACCATATTTATATTTTGTTATCTTCATTTTCCTATGCTTATGCTAGATATGAAATTATATTATTAGACAAAAGTTATAGAATTAATTTTGATATAAAAAAATTGAAAGATGAAAGAAAAAAATGTGGGAAAAAAAGAAATAGAAATGAAAAAAAAATGTAACTTTAGTTCAAAACAAATTAAACTCTAAAAAGTTTATTTATATATATAAAATAGAATAATTAATACATATTCTTTCCATGTGATTTTTTTACAATTTTTCTATAACTATAAATAATCATATAATAAATTTGTTATAAATTAAATTAAAAAACGGTTATTAATACATGTCATAATAATTTTTAATTAATTGATAATATAAAAAGATTTTATAATAACAAAACATTTTCATGAAACTTATAGAAAAGGAGTAGGAAAATAAAACTGTATCGGTCCAAAATTATGGATCTAATTAACTTTGCTGGCCCAAATATATTAAAGATACTACTTTTATTTATTTTATTATTAATTATCTTTATTTCATTGTAATATCTTATATTAGTTATTATTTTATGGACTATCAGTTATTATATCTCAACCTATTGTTATCTTTTGAATATTATATAAATGATCTAACGAGAGAGTAAACCTCAGTTCATAACTCATTCTCATATACATCAATTTTTTGTTTAAAAGCTGACTTGAATTTCGGAATGCCTTTTGCAGGTGGGCTTCTATGCTTCTCGGAGGTAATCTTCAAAGCTAGTTTGAAGATTGGTCAATTGACTTTATCTTCTTGTCTTGTCGACCATCTTCAACTTAGTAAGAACATTTGATGTCCACCGTCTTCCTATGTTACCAACCATCTTTAGCTCAACAAATGTTTTGTCGAACAACTTCAACTCGGTAAGAACATTTGGTGCCTACTGTGAGTCCCGGTAAAACGTCCCCCACGATCTCTCCCGTCCTATGGTTATAACATGTAGCCAGACGGTGTCCAACCCCAATAATGTGGATCCCTCAGCCATCATAGCCTTAAGAAGCACATGGACGAGTATTAATAGAGAACTCAAGAAGAGATAAAGAATTTGCAAGAACATAACAATGTTAAACTACTTCAAATCCAATAGAAGGCATCGAAAGAATTTGAGGCAGTTCAGAGACAACATCAAGCAATTCAGCACAAGGCAGCCAATGAACTGTAGTGATAAAGAAACAACACTAGACAAAGTTTCAGACACTGCGTAAAGAAATGAAAACACTACTTCAACGACCACGAACGACCAGTTCGAATGCACACAAAGAAGGAGTTGTAACATCGGACCAAACACTACTTCAATGGCCACGAACGACCAGGTCGAATGCACACAAATGAGTCATAACATCGGACCAACCCCGTATCGAATAATCCCTAACTCTAACCAATAAAACATGTTCGAAAGTAAGAGGTTCGGAACAAGCTAAAAGTTTGGTCCAAAGATCGAAAATTTCACCAAAACCGAGTGGCAGAATGTCGAGCTCAAAGAAAGCAAACTACTCGAGGGAACATGAAAGGCACGAACACACTAAGGAGGCAACAACTCAGCTCTCCCCTTCGAAAGAGCCTACCCTACAAGCTCCGCTCCATGTTCAATTCGTACGTACTCAAAAAATGAAATCCAAGAAGAAGACAATGACCATCCATTCATCTCAGAAATCATGGAAATGCCCTTCCAAACTAATTGGGAGCCTTTGGACATAGAAAAATACGACGTGGCGACAGATCTCGAAGAACACTTAGTAATGTACAAGGCCCAGGTCAAACTGTACACCAACAACAATGTCATTCTCTATCGAGTTTTTCCCACCATGTTGAGAGGGTCAATTATATCTGAATTATATTTGACAGCTTTACAAGAAAAGGTATAAGAACTCTCGAACACATTCTACGCGACCTTACAAGAAACTCAGAACCACTAAGTATGAGCGATATACACCTCTAAACACTAACCGAGAAGCGATCTTACAAGAAGCATTTAGTTTAGAATTCGTACACGCCCCTCCACCTCTACCGACACCAGTCCATGTAGACATAACTAAGTACTTCCGATTTCATCAAAATTATGGGCATACCACGAAAGATGCCAAAAGGTCAAAGATATTATTGAAGAACTCATCAGACCACTACTTAGTTTTTTCAGAGAACACATACACACTAGGGGATACATGGACCTAATCACCACATTTAGATTATTGGACCATAACAAACGAGTCATTGTTCAATACATACTCATAGAAGTAGAAACGTCTTACAATAAGAAGATTAACATTAAATCATCTTGGAGTCATTGTCTCTACTGTACACATGGTAATGAAATTCCCAACAGAGGATGAAAATTTGTAATGGTCCGATCAGATCCAAGGGAAGCTTAGGCATGCTACATTAGGAGCCTTAAGGTCACACCTTATTCATTAAGAGACAAGTCAAAATAACCAAAGGAGGATGCAACACACAAAGAATGTTGCATTACATATGCGCTATTTAACCTCAACCCTCGAGATGAATTTGACGACAATAAGTCGACCTTCAACGAGCGATTGATGGAAACCCAAATTGGAACAACAAAGGAACAAATAACGTTGGTTAAACAAACATTACATGCAGGTGATCAACTTAAACTTACTGAAATACTTAGTATGATATTGACCTCTTCGTAGAGCCCTTCAGATATGTCTAGTATTGATCCAAACTTAATTTGTCGTAAGTTAGCATGTTTCACCCATGCAAAACCTGTAGCTCAAAGAAAGAGAAGATTAGGTGGAGATAGACGTGTAGTTGTTTTGGTTCATAAGAGAAATACCTTATACGATCTGATTAACAAATGTGACTATGGTAAGGAAATCCAATGGGAAGTGGCAAAAGTGTACAAATTATACATATTTGAACAGAGTATGTCCAAAGAACTCCTATCCTCTATCGAGCATAGATTGGTGATGTATATTTTTGGTAAGCGGACCAAATGTTACAAAAGTAACCATTTTATCGTCTTCATGGATTAAATATTTGTTGAATACCATATCATTAATTTTTCCTAAGTTTAAGTAATCAAAATTTAAAAGAATGACAACATAAAAGTTATTTTTCTTTTGCAGTAAAACATATGCTAGATGATTAATTTCATATCCCTTCTTACAAATTCCTAGCCTATTTAATTGATACAAGAATTGAATTTACCCACTAGAGTTAAAAGTGCTATTCACTTCCTAATCCAAGTAAGTAAAATTATTCATTGAACTTTTAATTTTCCAATTCCTTGAAAGAAGAAAAATTCACTGAAACTTGGATGGTTAATATTTTCCTCCACATAAACTAGTTAAGCTTGTATAATTTTCCAATTAAACAAAAACCTAACTTACCTTATCTATCAACATGAATAGTATCAAATTTTCCAAATATAACTACTTAAAATTAAACATAAAAAACCATAGATAAGGTACTGGAGTAAATGCAATTACAATGCATCAAGATAAATAGGTTCAGAATTTGTCTTACAGAATATTACATTAATCCTCTAACATAGGAAAAATTTAGCCTTCCAAAAAAGCTTTTAAAAACTCAAAACCTAAAAAAAACTTTCTACGCTGCTTCCTCCCTTCCTTTCTGTGTCCAACTCTCTCTGTAGCTTATAACTCTTCTAGAAAACTTTCCACTTCAGCCCTCCTTTCTGCTACTTCTGCCTTTCCTTTTCCAGCCTAAGCCCAATAGCAAAGAAAATTAAGAATTCTACTGTCAGCCTATGAGTGATGCCAGCCATGCAAGCCCACACCAAAATTGTTCCAATTGCACCTGTTTTTTTCAACAAAACATAGAGACTACACTACAAGTTAAATGTAACGGTAATATATAAAAATATTGTTCAACTGTTACAAAAAATGCATGCAATTGACCTAATTTAATCTATAAATGTGAGGTAAAATAAACATGCATCAATTGGTTAATCAATAATACATTGGGTTATCAATTACTTAGTTTTCTATATGCATACTTGGGATATAATCAAATTAGAATGTATCTGCCAAATGAAAAAAAAATGCCCTTTATGATTGAGGGGGTCAATTATTGTTACCGAGTCATGCCTTTCGGCTTAAAAGATTTAGGTGCAACGTATCAGCGTTTGATGGATATGATCTTCAAAAAACTCTTATCAGTCAGCACATGGAAGTCTACGAGGATGACATGATGGTCAAGTCTATGAGTGTCGCTGACCATCTCCTATATCTAGAATGAGTTTTTCAAGAGATAAGGTAAC